TGATTGGTTGAATGGTACGGCTTTGTCCAACCACAAGCCTGCTTTTATCTCGGCCTCTACAAGGATCCAACATGGTGCACTTAGAAAACGAAGCCGTAAGAATTTGTCATAATTCGGTCAATTTAGGCTAATTTATTGCAATATTGACATTTTTCATTGCACATATGTGATGTCTAAGATTTCCTCTTGCCTCCTGTGTTTCCAGTTTCTGAGCGAGTTGACGAGACTGTTCCAGAAATCGCGCACAGCTGGAGCAGTGTACATCACCATGAAGCAATGTGAGTCCGCCCCCCTCCCCACATTGACTCTACAGGATACTGTAGCTAGCAACCTGTTGAGAACTGAATGGAGGGGAAATAACGGGAAGTGCGTCAGTTCACAGTAGAAATTAATATTGAACAAACCTAGGGTGGTGCGGTATATTAACCCGTTTACGTTACTCTTGCCCTTTAAAAATAGCTGCGACTGCAAGTTTCAGTGTTAACCTGGAACTGATGATGATGGTTATTCCTTCTTCCTTCCTTCTTCCCTTAACTATTGTAGAATTGAGCTTGTTTCAACAAATACTAGAATGGCCTCTTTATTAGGTAGGCATGAACGCAGCATTATTACATGCACAGGGCCCAGTCATGATGACTTTCTCAGTGTATTATATTAAACCATATGCTTCATGAGAAAACATATGGTGCAGGCAAGGAGGTTCAAAAGGAAGCTTTTGAACCTCCTTGGTGCAGCATAGTCTGTTTGAAGACAACTCTCTTCCTTTGTTTGTGTTGCATAATCGGTAAACTACCTTTAAGCATAGCACACCAGTTTTGTATGGTAGGTACAAGCAGCGTATGACCAGACTGTACAGTTTGAAGCACTCAAACTGAGATGGACCATTCATATCAATAACTTCAATAAGTGGTGAGATCTTATGAATGTGTTGTGGACTTAATGGGTTGTTCCTCAAGCTGGTACTAGTATTAGTGCCTTTACCAGTAGTGAATGTAGTCTAGTGGTTATTGATCAAGAAGTTGTGACTTTGAATCCTTTATGGATTGCTCACTTGCAAAGGGTCACAGTTCATTGTACTTGTTGAAAAGAGCTAGGAGATCTTCCTTGGCACATGTACAATGAACCTGTAAATATGTATCTGTCCTCTCTGTCACGACAAATGGAAAAGAGTACCTGATCTGTTCATTTGAGCCTAAATTGTCAACTGATATCTTCCTACCTGTACCTTCTGCAGATAATGGACAGACCAAACCCAAAACAACCAAGCCAAAGACAGAGTTAGTGACAGAACCAGCAGAACACATGTGTTTAATAAGGGCTACCAGGGGCAACAAGAAAATCACCACAGTGGTAAGGAACAATTATTACATGTAGCAATCTACAACTTACAATCAAGTATTTTGCCACAGTTTGCAACTATTATTTCTATTCTTTTTTTTGTCAGTAAGACTAACACATTCATCACCTTACCAGACGTAACACTCCAGTTTTGTACAGTTTATACAAGGCTGAAGCTGCATTATGTTCATCCTCTTACATTGGTACCACACAATTTTACAAAGGTACATCAGTACTATATTGGTATGTTGGTACAACCAGATTCAGTTAAATATGTGTACTTAGATATGGATATGACAGTGTTGGTGTTTTTTCCTTCTTTCAGATAAAGGCCAAGGATATCAACAAATTTCAAATGGTTGGTAATTGTTTAGCTGTTTACTAGTACAAAATGTATTTAGATTCTATTACAAATATATGAAAATTTTCTGTAATCAATGCCAAACAATTATTTCAAGTGATGGTCTTAGCAGTAAAGAACAAACTGTGGAAGCAAATATATGCAAAATGTCAACATAAAATGTGCAAGGTCTCTTGAGGAACTGTTGTTTACAATCCTGCTTCTTATATCTGCACTCCAATTGAACAGGAAGTATATTTGTTCTCCATTCCTTATTTCAGGCATATTCCAACATCATCAAAGCAAACATGGACGGCCTGAAGAAGCGGGACAGGAAGGGAACAAAAGCCAAGTCTAAGAAAGCCAAGGCCACCCAGTAATGACAAGCAAACTGTAGTCTTAGATAATTAAGCTTAAGGGTTCTTATCTTACAGGGTTCTTAGCCTTCTCCCTGCTGTACAAACCTGGAACCAATACTAGTACTAGTTTTAGTATCAAACGACTCCCTCAGCAGGGCGAGGGTTAAACCCTTACAATATGTGCTACTCATATTCTTTAGTGTTTATGAAGCCCACATACTAATATTTATATTGTTTACAAATAACTTGTACATCTGAATGTTGATGTTGTTGGAGATGAGTGTTAATACTTATGAGTGTTTTGACACTTCATTTCTAAGTCATGGATTCGATAGTACAAATGTATATGTATTTCATTTTTATGATCATGATTTCAGGAAATACAACATGTGCATGTAACATGATTATAATTTTGTTAATGAGAATATTCGCTACTACACTGATTATCCTTATACTGTTACCTTGAATGATTTTGCTAAGGATAACATGTATCTACAGAAAGGCCTGCTGACATGAATAGTTTCTTAAATTGTGTTAGTTTACTAAGACTTAGTATGTTGAATTTGATAATTCTGGCAGTGTGCCATTGTACAAAAAAGTAAAGAGCAAAGACAAAAGTAAAGAACGGATTATCGTGTTTGGTGACACAATGTTGACTTGGCATGCAGGTGTGTATAATATATTCTTCTGTTACTCTTCAGGTAAATGACTCTGACATGTTAAGTCAAATGGACTATAATTGAAATGAGTGATCAGAATTCAGAAGGCTGTTATGTATACTGTTTGGCTTCCTTGGGCAAAGGATGAGTTTGTAGTTTTTATTTGATTACAGCCTTGGATTGTCATTGATTATTACATGTGTCTGGCAACTTGCTTGATTTAACATTTGGAAAATTTAGTTTGGGTATGCTTACTCAGTAACCATGAAATATATTGAAAAGATGAGATGAAGTATTTACTGATACTTTTTATGTCTGAGTTACAGAACACAACTTGGAGAATCAGTGTGATTCTTTTTAAATTCTTTTGGAACATAGAGGATATAAAACGTTACAATGTGCAAAATTATTTCCAATTTTGAATTTGTCACTCATACATACTGTATACAGATCCTTGTGTACATAAAAGAATGTTACTTTGGAAAATAGCCCAGCTTCATATCTGCTTCTTTGTGGGACTTGAATGGAAAGGAGGACCAAGGAGGTTTAAAATACATGTAGTATACACTAGTATACACTACACAAGTTAACAGTATTCACAGTTGATTGAGATAGAATAACAATAATGGTGGTGCCATGTGTTGTAACCGCAGAGCATTTGACTCGTAACCAAGAGGTCCCGGGTTCGAATCCTGCCATGTCACTAAACTTGAGTCCTTGGGAAAGGCACTTTATATGACTTTCCTCACTTCGCTCAGGTAAACATGGGTATGCCAGAATGATCATTATCATGATCGTGGGCATTAAGAGAAAAACCAAACCAAAACCAAACTTCTTTTCCTACAACATAATGTGACTTAGAACATTACATTTAGAACATCACATTTAGATTGAAAGCTGCCAAAAGTCAATTTGTTATTTAGCTAGAATAATTTTCTCCAGTTAGCTGGCCCATTTCTGATTGTGCTATCTTCAAAAAGATGGTAGTGGTTCAACATGAATAATGCTGGGATGGATTGAAAGATTTATCTGATTCATAAGTTGGCCACCAGTGAACACATGGGAGAGTAGCGCCTCAACATTCTTGACAGGGATAATGGACATGGAATACAAGTATTCCATTTTCGGGTCAATGTTAGGTTAAACAGATATAAAGGCAACAAGGAGAAAGTCAACATACACAACAATCAAAACCACTCTGCATTTTCATCCTTTTAAAAACGACTGCTGTAAACAATATTTTGATAGTGTGTGAAGTGAACACACATACTTCCCATACATGTAACATTATAATGTTACATATTGATTGAAAGCAGGAAGACACAGCTACTACCACCACAGACAGCTGTTCATAGTTCAACTCGTTCCTGGTCATACCAACATATGAAACGTTGCAGTTAGAAGACCTTCCTGTTGTTACCATTATAAATGAAACAGGATCTAGGAGCAAGGATGCTTAGGCCTGACTTACAGAAGGCACTTTGCACAACGTTCGCTGATTGTTGTAGGACAGTGGCCTAGCACAGTTTTTGTTTTACACACACACACAAAAAGAAGGGCCCTCTAGATCTAAAGCTTTTAGAGCTGCAGCATTGATGGAATACTAGTAGCACCGAGGTGATACTTTGGCAAAGACAGGTGTCGCATGACAGGTGTGATGTGCTTTATGTTGGTGTCAGGTATTGTATTTTTGTCTGTGCTTGTCAGTGAGTTGTACAGAAAGAGTTACCTTAATTGATTTATTTTGATTTTAGTTTAGCTTACCTGATTATGTAGTTTTTACAGTTTTCAAAGTTATCGGGAAAAGCAGGGTGTAAAGGAATTTCCCACAATGCTCCTGTATTTCCCATGCATGACGTCACGAGTGGAACTGGTATTGATATTTTGGATGTCGTCTGAAGCGAAGCAGTACAAGAAGGTCGGCAGTTTTCGGCGCAGTTTGGAGCTATAAACTGGCTTATTCTATCAATTTGTAAACCTGGCGCCTTCGTAGCAAGTCTGGCCTCGTCCTCGGACTCCGACAACGGTGGACTGTCTCCACCACCGAGGAAAAAGCTCTGTCTTGCAGCGGCTGCTGCCATGCAGTCCAATGGCTCCCCGACCCACAATGGAGACGCTCAGACAAGCAGTTCCGCTCAAAATGGTGCTGAGCCGGAGCCCTCGGCCTCCTCGAGTAACGGAGTGGAGGTGACACAGGTTGCCGAGGGCTTGGAGAAGGCCAAGGTAGTGCTCTCCAGGTCCGACGAGGACATAGTGCGGCTGATCGGGCAGCATCTGAACGGCCTCGGTCTCCAGTGAGTAGACGACCCTTCTCTGTTTTCTGGTCATGTTTCCACACAATAATATTCTCGCAAGCTGATCGCCGGTATGTCTTGTTCCCATTCACAGCCGGACTGCTGAGCTTTTGATGGCCGAGTCAGGATGTCGTCTGGAGCATCCATCGGCGGCCAAGTTCCGCGAACTGGTCATGGCAGGGGAGTGGGAACAGGTAGACAAATAATTTTCGTCAGTAAAAATGTCGCCGCCATGTTTTTTGTTTCCCATTTTCTGTGAGAACCCAGCTACGTTCTCTCGATCGGTCATGAATTAAAATTTGTCACCTAATCCGCCTGCCTGTGTTTTTCCCAGGCCGAGGAGGTCCTTTCTGAGCTGAAGTCTTTGCTGGACAAGCCCCAAGCTGCTCTGGTAAGAAAGCAGTGTCCCAAATTTAACTAGCAGGCATAACAGTTTTGTGTGGTGTTATTATCTGATCACCATATGATGAATGTTTTAGATGACAGTCCCCTGAAGGGATGACTGTGCTCCTGGGACGATACAAGTCTATGATGAATGTTTCCTCACAAAATATCAAGGACAGGTTCACCTTTTTTATGCAACAAAATATACCTGCTAAATATACATTACCAAGCCAAGTGACCCACACCCAAAATCTAGTAAGTACAAATACTTTGTTGATGGTTTGCAAGGTTTTTTTTCTGCCTCATACACACTAGAGATGGATTCATAAAACAGCCTTTGGTCTGTGACCTAGGAAAGGTTCCTGATGTTATTATAACAATTGATCACATTGACACCCAAACGTGCCTAGCTGCTGACTGGGTGATGTCTTGGGCTGCTTGTGTTGAACGTGATAAAATTAGATTTCCCTGGAGTGACTCCTCACAGTTGTTGCTGGTCCTGGTATGAGGACTACATTTGCCACAGGTATTGGATTTTGCCTCCATCACATCCCAAATGTCTAGCCAGTAAGTCTGAAATGATTTGGTACAATCACATTTTAATCATTCACAGCCATGGCAGCATAGATTCCAATTTTTTCCTGTCCTAGTTCTTGAATGGGTGCCTTTCATGCTTGGAAACAGTTTCAGGTTGAGAAGGTAAAGCTGTTTAATGTGAACTGCTGTGAGTTAATCATCAATCATGGTTTACTGATGCAGCTGGAATGGAAGTGGGAATACTGAGAGCTGAACAGCCAATATGAAATGAAGACTGGAAATTGGTGGCCACATCTGGAAAGAAATTTTACCCTGTCCAGAACATAAATGTTATTAATGTTTGTAAAAGAGGTAAAAGCTCTGGAGTGTGTCAATTACCCCAGACTTTTGCTATATTTGAAGATTAAATGCATCCCTGTTGGACATAATGTACTACATGTATCTGTTAGACCACAGGTGATACTAGGGTAGGTCATGGTTAGGTCCAGGAAAGATGCAATCTACACTTGAGAGAAGATAAAAAGATTTTGTGGCTGTGATGTCAGTTTATTTCTTTTCTGACAACAGATCCATTAATTGGTGAAAACAAGTTGACACGGTCTGGACTGGTGCAAGTATTTTCTGTGACCCTCCTTTTTGCAGTCCATATTTGTCTTCTGCTAGCTTCTTGGACATGTTTGTAAACATTGCATAGCATTGTGGGAAATGAGTGGTTCTCCCATTCAGTCAGGTCAGTTGTTATGCTAATTAGCAGAAAACAAGAACAATTGGTCAGGCAATTAAACCAATCAGCTTTTGGTTCCGGGTCGGAGTTTAATTCTGACCAGAGTCTAAGTAAGTGCGCAGTAAATCGCCGGAAACGTGACTTTGTATGGTATGTTTTGGCCGCGATATCCCTGAAATCGTAATATCTGTGTACATATCTTTGTATTTTCTGAAAAGCCTGTTAGTTGTAGCCTTTATAGGTGGCGTAATGTTGGTGGTCCAGCGAAGACTTCCTGGTATTCGTCCGCGCGGATGGTCATGTGGCCTTTTCGCCTGACCACCGGGATGGTACGTTCTATATGCGTTCTGGGTGTGTTCGGGCCATCGAAGATAGCGATAAACTTATCGCATCGATTTTAATTAAATTCAAATTTTGGAAACATTAGGTTCTGAGCTTCTTCGAGTACTAAGCCGTTACCCTGGGAAAATTCGTTTTTTCCATGCAGCCATGGTTAAAAATGACGAAAAAAATGACCCCTTTTTTAAAAATGTACTTTGATGTGCCTTATTTACCCCTAAATAAATTGGGCGCAGAAAATATCAATCAAGTGTATTGATAAGCGGCACGGCACCCCTTTCCACCAAAAGAGTGAAAAATTCCGACCCGTGTTTAGTACAGAAATGACAGCCCGTCGGGCTGAGGGTGTCAAATTGCTCGAAATACGGAGAGAAACTCCGGTCCGAGACCTTTTGTAGGAAGGTCTTCCTTTGGTGCTCCTGGGAATAGAATGATACAATGATGTTTGTCACCAAGTTATCTTTAATTAGAATCACAAGAAGACCTGTAACATACGCACATGTTACGGTAGTGCACAAGCAAATGCTTGTCAACTAAGTCAAGTTTTTAAAAATCTATTGGAGAAATTTCTTATTTTTTTTATTACAGGAATTTTTATTTTGCTCAGATATTTATGAAGTATTATGAAGTATCAGCTCATTATGTACCTTTGTCCATATTACCTTTGTTATTATTATTATTATTACTTTGTTTTATTGTTTCCTTTTATGTGTGAGGAGAGGGCTGAGATAAGTTTTATAACTTTTTGCCTCATCCTCGGAAAATAAATGTGAATAAAATAAAATAAGTATCATTGAAAATAGAATATTTGATATGCTGTGGAATAGGACCAACCATCCGTTATTCCTCATCTCATCTGTTCAGACTGAATTTTGTTACTGTTTTGTTTTCAGAATATGAATTTTGTTACTGTTTATTTGTGATGTTCGTAGAACAATAACGACAACCATAATCTTCAAGATTATGGTTGTCATTATTTGAAGATTTATGGTTGTCATTAGTTATGTTTACTGCACATTATTTTTATGTGTTACGTTCACAGAATAGGAAGCATGTTGTTTTTTAGTTGTAATGTTCACAAAAGTTGAAGTTTGTTGTTGCTAATGTTTACAGAAGATGAAGTTCCTGTTGCTAGAGCAGAAGTACCTGGAGTACCTGGAGGACGGGCAGGTGATCGAGGCACTCTATTGTCTGAGGAACGAGCTGACGCCGCTCAAGTTCAACACCGAACGGGTCCACCAACTCAGCGGGTGAGTGAAGTTGGGTCACTGCTGTCTGACCCCCAGGGTCACTATTGTCTGACCCATGGGTTATTGTTAAACTGTGCATGAAGCAGGGTTTTTAATCAGCTTTTCCTGTCAACATGAGCCACACCCAGTGGGCAACACCTATAGTACGTTGGTTCTGAGATTTGAAGAAAACACTGCAGAACTTGAAAATCCAACATGAAAACAGACGGGAAAGTTTACACTTTGGCATACACAATTCCAGGGGGTTAATATAGTCAGACACAAAGGATTGTATGTCCTACATTATTTGCATATCTATGAAGCAAGGATGAAAATTGATGTAGTTGTAGTAGTTGATGACAAAGAATTACATGATGACTCTCAGAGCAGTTAGCAGTCCTTTATTTAGGCTTGAATTGCCTTAGGAGCCTGAATGCGCTATAGCTCTAGTCTCCCCCAGACTCCACTGTGGCCAGAAAAACAAATAGTAGAAATTTGTTAAATGGGAAGAATAATTTGCCCGATGAGTTAGCCTCCATTAGAAGTTCAGATTTGCTGAGAATGGATCTGTCAGTAGTTGTTATTGTTGGCAGAGGGAGGCAGGGTGGAGGGTTGGCTGAGTGTTGCAGGGTGTTATTTCCCAGTAAACACTGTAATCACATCCTGCTGAAATGTTCCTGGTGTGTTCTCGGGAGCTCTATTACCCATACTCTGCAGTGTCTGCTGAACAGTAACATGTTTCATGATGTGACAATTACATAATGAACAGGCCACGGGTCAGGGACAGCCTTTGTGAAAAATTGGTTGCTGATTATAACTGAGGAGTAATTGTTCTGATGACAGGGTTTATTTTCTTTGGCTACCCTTGAAATAGTCGTCAATGGGCCAGAACAAAGGTATTGCACTGTGCTGAAAACATTTGTGTCTTTTTAGCCGCAATATTAACATCACCATGACTTAAAAGTCATGCATGTTGAAGTAGTGTGCCAGCTGAGTTGATAAAACAAGCTCAGTTCTGCTTCTGATCTCATTTATTGTAAAGTTTATGACAACAAGATTCTCAAGATCCTACACAGAAGCACAGACTGTTAAAATAACAGGGCAGATTTATTTACTTCCTATCCTGACAAGTTGTGCAATTGGCCAGTGTTACCAATAAGGTAGCCTGGGTGCCAAACCCATAGCACACTGACACAAAGTATCTCAGTGAGCCTGGAGATACTTTGTGTCCAGTGTGCTATGAGTTTGGCACCCATGCTACCAATAAGGTTCTATGTCCTGTTTGTCATTTCCAGCAGTGTGGATTTTCCAAACTTTATGTCCCTGTAACATGCAGTTAATCCTGAACCACTTGCTATAAAAGATACCTAACACTGCCGCAGGTACTAGTATTCTGCAGGAATAACTTTACATCATGCATGCTCAAAGCATTGGATAAAAGCTGTTCATGTTTGTTTACCCCACATTTCCATTCCCATACTGGCTATGCTGAGAGGTACTTGCTGGTATCTGGTAGGATCTAAATGGAAGCAGGTTTGCCTGGCTGCCTATGGGGACCTTTAAGCATGTACATTATGGCATTATCTTTCATTGCCAAGCTGCTGGTGTAAGTGTGTAGTTGTTAGGATAGTCAGATTAGGGTGCCAACTGTGATGCCAACAGTATAGCACCATAGGAGGTAGAGGGACATGATGCGGGGGCAAGGGAAGGGTCACATATAACCTGTATTATTTACTCAGGCTGGGGGGGGGGTGCTAGGCGATGCCAGGGAAAAGGTCACATTTTACCTGTTGTTTACTTAGTGACTTGGGGAGGGAGACCAGAAGGAAAAAAAAACTTTGGAAGAAAACTTTGGGTTCAAGACATCTCCACATTTCTGCCTGATATGCAAGTGAGAGAAGTTGTAGCTGTTTGTGGACCAGACTATAGATGCTGCAGCTGCGTTTGTTTAGTGAGCTACTCCCCTGCCTGGGGGCCTGACTAGTAGCTCAGCAAAAATATATTGGGGCTGTACCAATTTCTGTATGCTGTATGTTCTGTGTTCTCTGTTATCAACATCAAGGTTGGAAGCTGTCCCAAAATGGATTATAACTGGAATGTTGGGATAATTGAAAACATACTGCTGGCAGGTTATTTACATTTTTAGACACAGAAGGATCAGAGTTTATCCTTAGATCTGTTTGTGTTTGCCACTGGTTTGTTGTTTTTGCTTCAGTACGATAATGCATATTGAATTATAATCATTATATGCACAAATTACTGAGGGAGAACTAGTGTTTTCCTAGGTTGGGTATGTATGTTTTATTGGGAATGTCTCAGACAGTACGAGGATTGTTTTTGTTGTGGATTTGAGTGTGGTTTTCACCAGGTTTAAAGATAATGTTGTTGTACTGTCTCCATGCTGTCACAGAGGATGAACCTTCAATACTTTGTTGTGCTAAAAACAATATCAGATTTGGCAGCATGCAGGCATATGTGCAGAGCAGACTGCCATGTAGATCACAGAGAAATGGCATCCTCCTTCCCCCGATCATGTGACCAGTGTTTTGGTTTCTCAGCTGATGCCCAGGGTAAATATCAGCTGAGTTGGCATTATGCAAATCAGCTCTGTGTGCAGTGATGGATGGAGCAGCCTGCTGGGGGGTTACTGGGGTCATTAAGCAGATGTTAGGGTGGCTGGGGTATAGGGCCTTTTAATCCTTTGCCTTATACAATATTCCTTATCATGGGTACATAATGTCCAATATTGTTCATTGTTTAATATTACAGGTACATCATGTGCAGTACTGCAGAAGAATTGAGAGAGCGTGCAGAGTGGGAGGGGAAGGGACCCAAGTCCAGGGCCAAACTCATGGAGAAGCTGCAAGGTAAGGCCAGAATCTGTGGTCTCTGTGTGAAACCATTTTGATATGCAAACAATATAAGTATAACTTGTTACCAATCGTTCAAAGGAGAGTGATATCTTGTTTTTGGGCTATATGACTCATGCAGTCAAATCAATTCGCATGTGTATATCTTACACGTAACTATAATCAAGTTAGTGTAGCCTTGCAAGTTGGAATATAGCAGATTATGTAGACCAGTCTAGGATTAGGTTACTTGTAATTCCTGCTTTGTAGAGCTCTTAGGATAATTGAAATTCCCCTGTGTGCATGACATGGGGAGAATGAAATGATACTGTTGCCAACTGCTAAGTGATAAGCTCAAAACAAGAATGCAGAAAGTATACATACAAAGGCTTTCTTTCCTAGCGTGACATGGATATTTGTCACACTTAACCTAAACATGTAACAACATTTCAAATGTTGCCTTTTTGTTTTATAATATTGGTGACAAGCACTGGAACAAACTACAGTGATTTTTTAAATGTTTGCGGCAGTCTTACTTTCCTGGTTTTCACAGTCCCTCTTACACTCCCTATTGACACCCCAAATATGTATTTTTACGCCACATTATTGAAAACTTAAACAAAGGGAAAAACCTACTGACCATTCAGTGAAATTAAATCCCCTGCAAAAAGAAATGAATTTACAGTATCTAATGGATATTGTTGTGATTTACCTAAATTAACTCTAACATGTTACATACATGTTTGGTCCAGTACTGAGTAAGCTTACCTCTGTGTTAGGTCTTGAACTGGTTTTGGGTGGTGTTAGGCCTTGAGGTGGTTTACAAACCAACCCTGTCCCTCTCCGCAGCTTACATGCCCCCGTCTGTGATGCTACCGCCGCGCCGGCTGCAGACCTTGCTGTCCCAGGCCATTGAGCTTCAGAAGGAGCGATGTCCCTACCACAACACTAAGAACGAAGACTCCTTACAAAACATGTCCTTATTACTAGACCATGTATGCAGTAGGTAAGTGGATATTACCAGACAATGTGTGCAATAGGTAAGTGAGTGGTGCTGTGAAAATGAAGATGTGTGGATTTTCTGTTTCTTGCTTAGTTTGTTTTTGAACAAAGCATCCAAAGCTTTTTTCTGAATTTGTGCAATTTAATGTGGTAAAAATGCATTGACTAAGAAACTATTGAAACAACTTATTTGTTTTGAATATTTCTGTAACTTTGTTTCTTTCCTGAAGTGGTATTTGTATAAATCTGTTGAACCAGTACATTGATGTGTTCTTGTGTTCCACAGGAAACAGTTCCCTTGCCGGACAAGACAAATTCTAAGTGAACACTGCGATGAAGTGTGGTTCTGCAAATTTTCCAATGACGGCACAAAGCTAGCTACAGGTTCCAAAGACTCCACACTCAACGTATATGAAGTAAATCAGGCATGTTGTCTCCTGTCTTTCCCCCATGACTGTGTTTCTGTGTTATATGTTATATGTTGGACATTGTACATTGTATATATGCTGTACATATCAAAGTCTTCTCTACCAGTCATCTCCATGACTATCATTCATCTTCCACTGCCAGTGGAAGAGTAGCTAAGCTATTTATTGATTTCATTTGAGTATAACTGGTTTGAGATCACGAAATGAAATATATTCATACATAGTGGCTGACACTTAACTTGTTGTGGTAATGCCGTGTGCTGTCGTGTGTTTTAGATAACCCAAGAAGCAAAGCTGCTACGAACGTTTGAGGGCCACCAGTACGGCGTGTCCTACCTGTCATGGAGCCCCGATGATGTATACCTCATAGCCTGCGGACCCGAGGAGTGCTCTGAGTTGTGGGTCTGGAACGTCCAGGTCAGGATAAGCTCCTGCCTCATCCCAGCAGCACAGCAGCAAGCTGTCTGGTGTATTCATATACACGTGCACCCATTTAATCCCCAAAAGATGTATTTCATCAAAGTATATTTTTCATCAACTAATTTCATTTGTTTGCATGTTCCTTTCAGTTGACAGAAGTGAAGTGAAGATATATGGTACACTTTACCAATTGAAATATGATGATAAAAGGTCAATCCTAGTATCTTACCCACAACAAGTCAGGAAGTTGCATGTCTGTTTCAGACGGGGGAGTTGAGAGTAAAAGTGAGCCAGTCCCCAGAAGACAGCCTGACATCTGCAGCCTGGAATATTGACTGCAAGAGGTTTGTCTGTGGGGGAACTCGAGGACAGTTCTACCAGTGTGTAAGTATGGCAGCTACTATGACATGGTGAAGTTGCACATCATATGATAGATGAAATAACACCAATCATACAGAACTGGAAAGGGAACCACATGTTCCACAAAAGGGAACCACACAAAACCTCAGCAGCCTGATTTCTTCCAGATTGATACAGTGTATTTAGATTTCCTAGTGAGTAACAGTGACAGAAAAAACATTTTTAACTCTTGAGCACATCCACACTTGGCCTGTCTTTCCCTGTGTGGTTCAGGACCTGGATGGGAATGTGATGGACTCCTGGGAAGGGGTCAGAGTGCAGTGCCTCCAGTACAAGAAGGATGGGAAGACAGTCTTAGCCTCCGACACGCACCATAGGATTAGGGGGTACAACTTCGAGGAACTTTCAGACCATAATTTGTAAGTAGGCATCCTGGATAAGGCTTGGAACAACCTCCAATTTATGGTGGAATTAGATTTTTTTAATTTTCCTTAAAAATTTGAACCTGCAGTGGTTTGTAGGAAAATTCAAGTGTCTTCCATCCTCCAAGAATACGAAAGTACAAACTAGAACTAGGTACAGTTGATTTATTAAGGGGGATTAAATCCTACAATAACTGCTAAAGCAAAGAAAGGTAGTCTTTTGTAACACTGGTCACTGTTAATTTGGAAAGGTTCAGAAAAAAGTAAACATCTGCATATACTTGCAGATTTTGACGGATACAAGTTGCTGTAATAATGACAGAAACAAAGTAACAACTAAAATCTGGCTCCAACACAATATGTGAGCACATATAATTTTCCACTGTCCTACTGTAGTCTTCTTCAGAACGTGGATTACTAGTAAGTCACCTTGGCCATGTGATGGTCAAAAATAGAAGCCTTCAGTAGGACAGTTGAAAATTTAAAATTCAATTTAAGCCATGTTACTGGCACTATGTTAACCACCCAAGCAGATGAAAACTTTCATGCTTATGACAGAAACATATTTTTTCCACTGACATGTGACATTCAGCATGCAGTTCAGATTTTTCAGATCATTTTTATCTTTCCAAATTGAAAATGACCTGTGTTTTGGTTAAGCACAGCTGTTTAGAACTAAAAGGACGCATTCTAATTGAAAGGAACCAATCACAAGTTGCAGAAGAAAAGTCTGACATTTTTAGCTGCTTGCTTTTTTCCCCACGAGCCTCTGAAGCTGTGGTATATTTCACACACAGAGATCCCATGGCTCAAGACCCTTGGATAGTGGACAATAAGTAAGGAAACACATCTCCTTAGATACCTCGTACTTTCATTTTCACGCGTGGTCGACGACAAAGCTCAAGCCAGGTATATTTTGCAGTAGTGTTGAAACTGTTGACATTACAGTGAGAAGTTGCAAATGCTGAAGTATCCTGCGTAGATGTTGCTCTGACCAGCCTGCTGCATGTGTGTTTTATTTTGCAGAATAGTGGAAGATCACCCGATCATGTCCTTCAGTGTAGATGACTCGGGGCGGTTAGCACTTCTGAATGTAGCTACTCAGGTGAGAACAAAGTTACCACTTCTGAATGTGTTTCTATTGTTATGACAAGTGTATTGCCATGGTGTGTTTCTACAGTTAGGACAAGTGTATTACCATGGTTATGACAGATCTGTTACCATGGTTATGACAGTTGTGTTACACGTACATTTGTACTATGGTTTTGTGTATGTACAGGGCGTCCACCTGTGGGACCTGCAGGACAAGGTTCTGGTGAGGAAGTACCAGGGCGTCACACAGGGCTTCTACACCATCCACTCCTGCTTTGGTGGTGTCAACCAAGACTTTGTGGCCAGTGGGAGCGAAGGTACGACACTTTTTCACCAACCTAACCAACAGGCAGACACACTCTGTGCATTAAAACATCTGGTTGTAGTTTGACTGCATTAGTCTGTCCTGTTGTGTGGTCACGATTTCCTGGCTTGCTGTTGATACTAGTAGATTCTAGTGGAAATGAGTTTGCCAAAACTGAAGGTACCTTCAGAGTGTGACTGTGACCTTGTAATTGTTTACTGTGACCTTGTAATTGTGGCTGTGACCTTCAAAATTGTAACAAACAATGCATAGCAGTGACACTTCCTGATCATTGTGGCTGTGACCTTGTGTTGGTGTGCAGACAACAAGGTTTATGTGTGGCACCTGAAGCGGGAGCTGCCCATCGCAGTGCTGGCCGGCCACACGCGGACCGTCAACTGCGTGACGTGGAATCCCCAGATCCCCGGGATGCTGGCCTCCGCGTCCGACGATGGCACCGTCAGGCTCTGGGGACCAGCGTCCGCCGATGACGGTAAATCACAGCTCCTGATTGGTTGGCTGTTTCCAGCCACTGAAGATCACATACGCTGATTTTAAGTCACATTTTATGCTTCTTTTGATAATGTTAGTTTTTTTCTCCTTTTTTAATGTCGTAGTTATTGCAACTTTTTCAAAAGTATGTGTACTGAAGTGATGAAAGTCTCTACATTCAGGAGTATGATTTTTGAATAGCACACCCAGCTTTGTCTCTCCCTCCTAACATTATGGTGCTCTCCCTTCAAACCCCCTCAATGGCCCACTCCATTCACCAGTCTCAGTCTGTATCCCTTATTCCCTTCAGTCCCCAGCCCCCCTCAATCCCACCCTACCCAAAGTGGTTATGAGACCAATAACTGCATGGTATTGTCAGAGCAATTTTTCTGAAGCCACAGACAAGCCCTCCCCCTCCAGTACCCAGAGTGTACACCTCCCACACTAGTGTGTAGGAACATAGCTGCATGAGTTGTTAAGTCTGGGTTTATGTTTTGCCGGTAGAATCAGACGATCTGCCCTGCCTGTCTCCCCTGGACGGCACAGTCAGGGTCTTGGAAAAAGACAAACCTGCGGCAGAATCGGGTAGGTGCTGCCAGGAATAACCGACTTTTCTTTCCCCTCTTTATTTGAAAGGAAAAACATTCTTCCACCAGTATGAGATTTTCTTTTGCTACCCTATTTTGTGAGCTGTTGTTTTGTTTGGGTTTGTATTAAGCAGTTTGGACCAACACTGCAAATTCCCTAACATTGTACTCACCTGTTGTCGTGTTTGTGCACTGATGAATTGAAAACTTCACATCAAAAACATTCCAGACATTGTGAAAGGTGTTTACTCCATTGTAGTGCCAGCACCCACAGAATACACAGCCTTACAAAATGTTGTGTTTATGGTGAAGCTATGATCCTTTTTTTGTACATTTGTACACTCCTTTTAAAAGAAATCCTTCATCTGAACCATATTTTCTTGGTCCTTTGCAGATGACTCGACAGACACGGACGATGAAGTATAGCGGCTCCACCCTTGTTGCCTCATTATGTGTAGTTCCATAGAATATTTTTCTTCAATGTTCCATATGCTTCTTAATCACATTATTTAGATATTGTTTATGAAATATCATTTTGTATTTGACATAGTTTACTTGAGCGAGGCTGCAAATGCGAGGGCTCCCCTCGAGTTTGGAGTTTTTAATGGCACTTTTCTGCATGTCCAAATGTTGGTAATGGAGAGAGAGAGTTGTGGGTTGATGAGTATTGTAGGATTGATTGTGAATGAAAGTAGGGTGAATTTTTCCAATGGACTATTCTAGCCTAGCAATAGAGAGCAAAGTTGGCAGCACACGGCATGTATGTGTACATTTATAATGTATAATTGATCACCAGCGTCTGGCAATGATACATGTATGTCATTGTTATTTTATGCTGCTCATTCCTACAGACAATAGCAGACATTACTCAGCTGTGACCTCGCTAGGCCTGTTGAGAGGAAGTTTCTATGTCAGGAGAAAAAATGACCCACTTAAGCCTTTTTAACTTGTAACCATTCCCCTTTGAGTGGAGGATGGAGAAATAATAAACCCCGTAATACGCTTTCTTAGATGGGAGGTTACAACATGTTTGAAGCTGTTGGCTACTAGTAACAACATGGATGGTCCTCGATCCTTAGAGATTTTGTCCAAATGCCAGACAGACTGCTAAATGAATTACACTAGTCTAAATTTGGAACTACACAGGAGTTTTGTGTGCACAACATGTAGGCATATTACCGACTATATTAAATGCTGGGCTTCCATTATGATAGCCTTGAAATTGGAACATGACTTTCTAAAGTGAAAGTACTGTAACCTGAAGGGACAGACATTCCACTCTGCAGTGGCAACAAGTGTAACCTCAGTTGTTTTATTAATGCACAAGGTGCTTTTAATATATGTATCAACAGGCCTGGATGGGGTTACAGCTTAGCTCAATACAATCAACAGCATCGAATATTGTTGCATCATCACCTTTAGTTCCAGGAAAATAATACTGATGCTACAGATTTCTGCTATAAGTTTTATAAGCTGCTAACTTTTTTTTAGCATAATTCCCATCTGCCTCACCAGACAATGCCAAACATTTCCTTTCCTCACTAGAATGCTCTTTCTGCACTTCTTCAGTACTGCTGAAAGTTGGTCACATATAATCACCCAGGGAAGGAAATCAGGCTTCCATGAATAGCAATCTTTAGTTATTGAACCTGGTCGGGCTGTGGCAAGGTCCCGGCAGGAGGGCATGACTCTACATGTCAGCAATAAACAATCAGCAGTGCACAGTTAACCAACAACCAGGGCTGTTCTCGCTTCCTGCACATTTCAGCACTGCCACAACAGAAACACAAGCACCGGGCGGTTTTGCATGGGTCGAACCTGCTTTTGTAACAATCCAGATGTTCTTGTCCAGACAAGGTGTATGTTAAAGAATGAAATATTACCTGTATGGTATCTACACACCTGGCTCTCTTGTTTCCTTGTGTCCTCAATATTTTCTTGTACATTTTAGGCTAGCCATATAAATCAAGGAATGATGTTCTTTGTAAAATGCATTTTCAGAAGTTTAAGAAGGCAGTTTATTCAATAAGTTAGAAGTTTAAGGGGTTCATTAAACTGTCAAGTCTGTGGTACGGTCTGCAGTCATGAGTAAAGATACTTCATTTTAAATCTAATTCTGAAAATGAAAGAAATATCACTCACACAATTCTTAATTGGAATACAAAATATATTTGTAAAAACTAATGACTTAGAATAACGTCGACAAGGTAACATCTGACTTTTAACATGTTCAGTATGACACGTTGATGACATGGTTATAATTAAAGTGCATGTTCTGTACATTAAAATGCAATACACTTCCCTACTAAAGTAGCCTGGGTGCCATCCTATTTGTATGCCGGACTCCCATTCTCCCCCAGCATACAAATAGGATAGTACCCAGGCTACTACTAAGGGAGGTTTTTGCAGGAATGTGAAATTCTGCTGTGAACAGTTCACCAAACAAATTGACCAACATACAGTTCCAGCAACACTCAATCAAGCGTGCCAACAAACAATAATTCCTACTGGTAGAAAGTGAAACAACTGGCCTCAAAGTTCTTTGAATGACCCTGTAGCCATCATCAGGTCATCAAAGGTCAAGGACCGATGGGACTCTGGGACAGAATGCCAGAACCTGCAACACAGGAGGGGACACTGGGACTGAGAAAACCTCCCATACATTAACATGTAGTTGCAAGGTTCATTTTACAAATTTGGCAGTATTTGCATATACTGCTCTAAAGCGGTGCACCATTCTCAAACAGTAAATGCACATTCATGGTAATGGGTTCTAATGTCTTCTTTTCTCTGGTGTCAAACAAAACAAAGTATCCATGATACAGGTATTGCAAAATGTTATACTAGTAAAACTATCAATGCCCAATGTTAGTAGCCTGCCTATACAATTACATAGTAAGTAAATGGCTTCAATAATGCACTTCTGCCCTCATAAACACTTCTTACACTATGGACGAACAGCAGTGATCAACAGCCTATGACGTTGCAAGTGAACACGACATGACTGGCTTTAGAAAGAGCAACAAGTACAAAAAATGTATGGTAAAAGTACAAGGTAAACATGACATAAGACCTACTGATACATTTGTATCTACAGATCATTTCTAAAGGTACTGAAGACTTGTACAGAGCTGGTAGTTTTTAAATTAAGCCCTTATTAATATATTACTTGATAAACACTGACTACTGTACAATTAACCGTACATACTAAACACAAATTGACAATTATGAACACTTACAGCAGAACAGTAGTTTTAAAGACTAACATTAATCAAAGCAGTGTTTGCTACACAAGTATGGCTAAGTTGAACAGGATCTGGCCTTTCCTATTTTATCTACAGTACAGATAGAGAACAAGTTGTGGTGTCTGGTGCAGGGTTTTCTTCAGCTTCGTCATCAGGTGCTGACAACTATCAATGCATAAATCATACTGGAAAAAAACACAGGTGAGGAAGTAGTTAGCAAGTTCATACAGTAGCAACATACACAGGTAAGATACCAGAACAGTGAAGTAAAAGGAAAGTCAATTTGTTACCCACAACAGCTTGGAAGATGACTAGATAACAGTGGAAGCTATTAGTTCTGGTATGTATATAAAAATGGCAAAGTACTCAACCCTTGTTCAAGTTTTGAAGTGAAAAAGTCCTTATGAACATTTTACATGACACATGTCTGTCTACAACAGTTCTGCACCCAAACCTACCTGTACAGGTACAAGAAGAAGCAGAGCAAGTGGAAGCCCAGTTTGGCCATGGACTCCTTCATGTAGGTCTTGAGCTGGCCCCTGTTGTGGATCTCGGTGGGATCATACACTCCTGTGTTACCGCTGGGGATCTGGGAGAACCTGCCACAAGCAAAAAAAATAAATAAATAACACTCCCATAACCTGCCAAAAACCAACACAAAACAGTCCCATAAATACAAAATGTATCATGCTATAATATTCATGGATGCATTTCCTTTCAAAACCACTCCCAGTCTACCAGTCAACACTTTCATGTTGAACCATTGCCATGATGTTCCTGACCTGTAGATGTGCCATGCTGCCAGTGGTGCATTCAGGAGAAACAGAACCCAGTGTAAAGACACCAACAGTAACAGTGTCAGGGTACAGTGGGCTATCAACTCTGGCAGGATCCACTGGAACATCAGAAAACACTCAGTCAGTCATAGAGACAATGCAGGCATTGCATGCAATATTTATGTAGCTGCTAGGTGGAGTAACTGCACAGAAAGCAGACAAGTACAAGTACATTTGTACAAGTATGTTTTGCTGACAATATGGAGACACTTCTGTGAAGTATACAGAATAGCCGGAGTTGAAGTGTTAGAAACTGAAACAATAGAAACGACAACGTGGTAATGTGAAAAGTATCTGAGGTCTGTATCCTGTCTTGAACTCTGTGTTTCAGACTTTCAGCCATTTTTTTCTGATAGCACGTGAAAAAGGGGTACATATATTTATCATTTTAATGCCAATGTCAATGGCAATAAAATCAATGTCTCCCTCTTCCAATTCAAACACTATAAAGACGTGATTATTGATATTTATAACACAGCGTTAGACCCTACCTTGTTTAACTTGGAACAGCATTGTGTTGCATTAAGGTAGTCACATTCTAAATCAGACAGGGTGATGATCTGTTATCACAGTTAAGACATAACAGTATATACCGAACCTAGTATCAAGGTATACCACATTTTTACACTCTCAGAATATCAATATCAGTGTCAATATCTTCACACTACATTTAAATTCACTAGCTATACAGGACAGAGCCAGGCACAGAAAAGGATTGTGTGCTTTTCAAGCCGTGAAATGTTGGATAATTTACAACAGAAAGTGACCTGAAAATGACATCTGCGTTCTAAGTCGGATTAACGGGTTGGGGCCGCTATTTTCTGTCGTTACGCCCCAGGCAGGAGCCCAGGACGTCAAATTACCGAACTACCAACTACTCTAGGTTCGACTCAACTGCACTTTTAGTTCTAACAAGCGAAAAATCTATATCAGCCGTAAAATTACGATATGACCGCATTAGTGCCAGCCTTGCCAGCTTGGCACTAATGTGTTGGCAGAAAGTCTTCTGCAACTTGGAGTTCAGTGGGGAGGGGGGCGGATTTGACGCGTATTTTGAACAAGCAAACCGCATCGGAAAGTGGGATTACACATTCAGTGATGAACATAATAAACGCTACCAAATGTGACAGGTACTCAAAAGGATACAAAGTACACCGTTAGAAAGAGAAGCCCCGAGCAATCCAGCAGAGCTAGGATGAACAACACTGCGTCCGAAGTCATCTTGGATGGTCTGAACCATTCGAGCAACTTAGGGGTGTTTATAATAATTCAGATAACAAAGAAAGATGTGTGGAGAAGAAAAACAAAAACATGCACAAATAAAGACTCAAAATATTTTTAAATCAGATAAATGTATTTTTTACTATCATTTATGACAGTGACATTGTTCCCGTCAAAGTATAATTTCTGTAACTTCCACTTCCATTAAATGGTAGTTACCAGTGAGGAAATCTCGCTTTTTCGCGCAAACTACGAGATCAGATTTTAGACTGATTCATCTTGAATATAGGGGAGCATGCTTCCAAATTTTTCTACTATTAAGATTATATAGACTATTAGACAATGAGTCTTCGTAAATGTACAAAATCTATATGCCTATTACATATTATTTTGTCTAATACAAATTATTTTGTTCCTTCTATTTACCCTTTGATCTAGCTATTCGCTACACAAATAAGATTTGTACCCTAGTATGTTTTCCGTTTGGTAGAGTCACTTGGTATGCAAAGATATGCGGTTTGAAAACGGGACTTTCACTTCCTGCTTGGTGCCGACGTTTGTACGATCGCTCCTCGCACAAAGAACCACTGAAGCTGTACGCATGAGGACGGGGCAGAGATGACCATGACCAAGGATCGCGCTGAAAGCCTGGCTAGTCTGGATAACCTGGACATCAGCGCAAAAGTGCAGCACTGCGGGCTGCTGCTCAAGCGGCCTTTCGGGCACCCTTCATCCAGGTGGCAGAAAAGGTTAGAAATCAAACCGCAACATGATCAAGGCTTTGGCATCAGGCCATGTAGTGATGTAAATATTCAATACAGCGCCGGCACGGATATGTTTTTATTTCAATGTTTTGCATGATGCATTTTCAGAGTGACGTTTTCACTGGGCATCAAATCCGTAGTTGTTTACATGAAACAGATATAACTCAGTCTCCTGCTGTGCATGAATGAGTAACATCCACACCTGTTCATTGTTTACTAGAATTACGCGATTATTTCCCGTATTTGTCCCGGCTGTACCTGTGCGTTTGCAGTGCCTCATGAGGAACCAATGAGCCCCAGATCACTGGTGACGTGGACGAAGGCTGTATGGAGGAACACTTTGGGCCGAAGTTCAAGAGGTGCTGAGTATGAGAGCTCAGGGTTCTATGATTCAGGAAGTGACACTTGACCTGCACATCAGAGATGTCGTCACCTTGGTTCACCTTGACCTTCAGAGGAACAACTGAATCAGAGCCTTTTTTAGTTAATAGAATATTCCAACTCTTTCCAATGAATGCTCAAATTTGTTGATGAAGCACCGGAAAAAAAATTAGTGATTTTGCCAATGTAATTTGAGGAGGTTCTGGTCTTTAATAGTTGATCAACTTCCTCATCAGTCCAAGTTTAGTTAGCTTCCGGGTTATTGCCGCAGTTGACTTCCTCTTTCCATACTGAAGTGCTTTCAGACTCTGGAGAGATCAACGATCTAGGGGGCACTTTAGACTGACGACGGTTTAATAGTCGTACGAATGTTTATCGTCAAGATGTTGCCGGCGACGGTATTTTACCACCGTCTAAACACGATCAAAATAGTCGCACGACGGTAATCCTCGAATCGTCGTCACTACCACCTCGGACCCTATCGTGCGATCCTTCAGCGGGGGGTCCGAGGAGGATTTTCCACCGTCTAAAGCCAACCGTCGCCGGCGAAGGAAGTGGGAGGTCATTGGCCTTATGCAAATAAGCCTGCAAGCGTTATTTCATGTCCAAGCACATCGCCAGTATCATTAAATGCCATCAAACCAAAGACTTTATATCGTCATACGTGTCTAGTACAATCCCCAGCCACCAATCGCTACTTCTCTGGTACGAACCGATCTGCCGATCCACATTTCCCGGCCAATATAGCCAGGCCGACGGCAGCACTGAACGCTGGGTTCAGTATATTGCCCCGCTTGGTACATGTGCCTCATACCCCTTCTTTGCTGGGCACAAACTAGGAGTCTCATCCACAGAACAACGAGTTAAAAGCAGATTAAAAGCAATCTTCTGCAGCATGCCGAAAAAAAAGGGGTTCTCTCGCCATTTTGAATTGGCGCGCGGTGTGCCCTCCTGCGCTGCGGGTGTCCGTCACACTTCCTGGTCATGTGTCTAAAGTCAGCCGTCGCCCACAACGATTGTCGTGCGATCGTATACTGTCGTCAGTCTAAAGTCGGCCAAAATTACTTGGAGAAAAATCTGGGGAAGACATCAAGATGGTATCTCTGGAAGTGTTCTATGGTCCTGACAGGTCTGGTTAATCAGAAGCTGGTGGTTTATCTGACAGACAACACATTCTGTTGTGAGACCAAACAAGAATGTCAAACACAGGCAGAGTCACTGCAGGGTGCTGGGGGGGTCTGGGGCTACTGTGTAGGGTCTGGGGCCAGAGTGTCC